GCGTCCAGGGTCTCGGCCACACTGTCGATTTGCGGCCCGCCGGCCGCGCCGTTGGCAATGGCGACGATGGTGTCGTTGGTGGACGTGTCGCCGTCCACGGAGATGGAGTTGAACGAGCGGTCCGTGGCGTACTTCAAGATCTGCTTCAACGCCAGGGCCGTGACCGGCGCGTCGGTCGCAAAGAAGCCGAGAAGCGTGGCCATGTTGGGGCAGATCATGCCCGCGCCCTTGGCCAAGCCGGCCATGGTGTACGTGTGTTCGCCAATCACAAACTGCTTGCTGACCAACTTGGGGAACGTGTCTGTGGTGCAGATAGCCGAGGCACAGGCAAGCCAGTGTGCATGCGAGGCCCCAAGCCCGCTGCCGGCCAACTTGGGGATCCCGCCGACGATCTTGTCGATGGGCAACTTGTTGCCAATCACGCCTGTCAGCATCACGAGCGACGACGAGCCGCTGCGGTTGCCGAACACGCGGTCCGTGGTCTCGACCATTTGGCGTGCGTCTTGCATGCCCTGCGAGCCCGTGACGGCGTTGGCGTTTCCCGAATTCACCACTATCGAGTTGATGTACGGGTGCTCCTTGAGCGTGTGCATGGACACCTGCACGGGCGCTGCCTTGAACTTGTTTTGTGTGAACACGGCGGCCGCTACAGCCTCCGAACTACTGGTGTTGTGAAGCAAGGCCAAATCCAACGTACCGTTTTTTTTGACGCCGCAGTGGGCGCCGCCCACAACGAAGCCCTTGGGGTAGACCCCCGACTTTGGAACAAAGCGCTCGGCCTTCGAAAGCGCAAACAACTGCGCACTGACTTTCATGATGGTGGGGAAAAGAGAGGCGGAGGGGTTGGCGGAGAAGTTGAGCTGAGGTGCTGGGCGATTCGGCAGGTGCGCCCTCGACGCGCTGCGAGATGTCGTGGAGCGGCACGTCGTAAACCAAGTCCTCGTATTTATGACTGACATGTCGCTCTGAGTCATGGGAACAATGGATACAGGCCATGCTTCCCGTGTTGCTGTGCCGCACCTGACGCTGGAAGCTGTTTTGCAATGACGTCAGTGTTGGGCTTCTTTCAACCACATGGGCGACCAACGGGCGTCTCCCCGGGATTTTTGTGGTGTTGCGCTGCATTGCTTGGCCTCTCGAAGCATTGGGCATGCATGAGAATGCATGCCTACTGCATTGTGTGGTGCACCAACTTCCCACCATTCCACAATCGTGCCTCCCTAGCATTATTTTGGATTAAGCACTGCTGTAGTACAGCGGGGCTCGTGCTGCAAAATTGACCGCAAACTTTCGCAGTTGATAGTGCTTGGAAAACTGAAAGCAGGAGTTCCCATAAAAGTCTCCATTTGGAGTACTTCTGGGGAAGTGTGTAACTGGTTTCAGTCTCTGAGAGGTCCAAGATGTGAGAAGTCCACGATCATTTCTTCCTGGGATCTTAGGCTGCAAAATTTGCTTGTTTACTTCCATTTGAGTGTGAAAAGATCTTGTGAAGTATTTTGGAATTTCTAATATTGATTTATTAGTGCACTGAGTTTTTTTTCTCTGAGTCTGGAATCCACCACCATGGAAGAGCTTTAGATGGAAAACAGATGGTACCAACGATTTACTAGATATAGACAAGATGTGAAAACACATCACTCGATAAAAGGCGAGATGTGAAAAACTCAATTTAAGGCAAGACGTGAAAAAGGCATTACTCGATATAAGGCAAGATGTTATTTCCACTCCTGACACAGCCCTGAAGATACTGCTTCATTTATTAGTGGGTTGACTTCTCTGTAATAGTTGCTTCAACCCAAGGGGGTTGAAGTATTGAGGAAAATACAATACACCTAGTACCATCAGATATTTCACAGACAAAGCAATACGGAGCAAATTCAACAGCCATTTTTCTTTCTCTTTCAGTAATTATGTAGTATTGCAAAGATGTCTCTATTCCCAATCAAATTCTCGGGAAAGTCTTTTCCACAAAGTTGGGGATGTGTGTCTTTTGAGCCATTTTTCCTACATTTGGTCGTTCCTTGTTATGTACCAGTGAATCATCTTCCGCTGTCACCCCTGAATTTGAATGAAAGGCTCGGATTGCGTTTATTTAAAGCAATTCTTCGAGCCTAAATTCTTCCAATACAGTCCGACATCTTTCCGGTGGCTCACTTCATGTCTCCACGGATTTATATATCCAACCAGAGTCATATATGATTCTAGATCAGTCCGCTGTTTGATGTTGCTACGGTTGCCTTTGAATCTGCAAGGTTGCTTTTAATACGTGCTCTTTTTGTTCCGACTCTTCCTGACTATGCATTTGTGAAATCAGTTCATTTCCTCAGTCATCGTGAGTCACAAAAAGGATGTTATGCCAATCAGCAAGAACGACAGCGACGAAGTAATTACTTGAGAGTAGAAGTGTATATATTTTGGCTAAAAACTCACAATCAAGTGTCCAGAAGATCTTTTTATCAGCGACGGACAGTCTCATAATGTACAGCTAGCCGAAAAATCTGGGACCACTAGGGGAGTCTCTTCTTAGAGCTTGATTGAGAGAAGAAAGGCGCATCCGGTGAAAGGCCAAAATAGTCAAAGATCATCTAAAGCTGATACGAGGCTTTTCGCAATCGTTTTTTGGTGCTGATTGTTGAACTATAGCAAATCAGGAAAGAAATGCTCGCCTAGACCGTACTGTTTGGTCTATGCATTTTTTGGCTGAGGTTTGTGTAATGCTTGGATCTATGAATTGAGCTGCGTATAATAACAAGCATATAATTCAGGCATACTTCTATTTTTTTTTGAGAAGCAAGCCTCGAAAGAAAACCCGCAAGTAAAAATACAACGGATGAGAAGATATGACGAATCCTTGCGATTGAGACCTTAACAAAATCACATACAGACTTATAAGCTTCTCAGACCAATGAGGATTTTTGTATTGGGGAGCTTTGTACTAACATAGTAGTTACATGGGCTTGCTCATTTTGAATTACAGCTTTATTCACAACAAAGCAACTATTTAATTGAATTCATTTTTAGCGAAACATAACCCCGCTTCGTCCGGTTCAGAGAGGATTCATTCTAGTATACAGTTTTGAACTGCTTACTTGTCAGTTACATGGCTTAGAAATTTTGGCTTAGGTGGAGATTATTTTCGGCTGCCTATTGTTTACATATTTGGGTGACAGGCTTAACGCAGAGAGCGGAGACGTTTTTGTGAAAGAACTCGGGTAAGCGACAAAAGTCGAATGAATATTTTTCCTAATGTCATGCTTTCTTTTTCAGCGTTTCTATCAAATTCACTTTTGTTCATTCGAAGGAATCAAAAGCTTCAAGGCCCTAAAGCTGTGATATTGGTAATTTATCATCAAAATCTCATGAACAAAAAAAGGAAGAGATTTTTCACTGGAAGTTATAATAGTCTATGAGGTTTGAAGCCTACTTAGGTTTAGAGACACCCGTACTGTTGCAAACTAAGTCCATAGGACCAAGCATATCCTTGCTAGCTGCTATGCAAAAACCGCAATATTTTCTTACTATGACTAATCAAAATTCAGCTTATATCCCCTAACACATGTTTTCGGATACTTCTTTATTAGGCAAAGGGTAATTTAAAATTTTAGAAAGGAAGCAACGAAAGAAAACCAGTATACCTACCCCAGATAGCCGAAGTGCTTGCAGAGACTCTCACAGAGGTATGCATCTACATAGACACAGAATTTACTGTCTGACTTATCGCAGACTTGGTTTGAGATTTAGCTGACAAGGTTGCTGGAGATTAACACTTAAAAATACCCAGAGATACAAATACATAGTCAAAAGACTTTTCTAATATAGGTCAGCATTAGTTTGGGGCAGAGTTGTTGATGTTGAGCAACGTGGGATCTGCAATTTAGAGTAGACCCCAGGGTTTCATGGGGTCTATGTTTTGAAGTTTAATGCATTGCCGACGAGTACTCTGACGGGACACCGCAAACAATGTATTTTCTTGTTTGGGGACTCGAATAAACCAGTTGATCATGGACTAACTAAAATGATGCGATAAACCTAATTGGAGAAGTCTCGTTTAACATGGAGAAACTAGATCGAGAAAGACAAAAACAAAAAATCTACTAGGGTTTTCAGCCATGTTTGGGATTCTGACCGCAATTTTAATAGTGGGTCTTCACATCTCTTCCTTTGTGAGCATATTTTGTTTGGCAACATGGAAGGATGTGCAGTTGTCGCTGTTACTTTACAAACCCAATGAGAAAGCAACATGAACAAAACCCACGACCATACATCTTTGAAGCTAAACTGGAAACCCCACGAGAACAAAGACGAAAACTTGGCAGATTTACAAGAACCACTATGGTCGAAGGACAGACCGATGATATAGAGCAAGTAAATATAATCATTATTCGCCCCCATAATGACATGTCGACTAGCTCCTTGTGAAGAACTCTGGGATGGACGAATCATTCTGAATATACGATGGGAACATCACTCCACGTCACTTTATTAATCATCTTTGGCCTAAAACATACGACAGCTTTTCCGTTGACTACACACGTTTCTCATCGGGTGGGCAAGGCATAAACGATTCAAGCGTGCATGCCCAGTTGTACGATCAAGTGCGTCGTACAAGCTGAAGGAATTTTCTGTTTTATTTATATAATAAATTCATTTTTCTGCACAGCAAAGAATGTGTAGTGACTTTTGTCTTATGAAGAAATACACACAACTCATGCAGTGACTACTCTCTTAGTAAAGACCGATGATGATGATTTCTCGTCTATCTCTTCGAGATCTTTGAAATACTGGCATGCCATGATTTTGGCCGCCATCATGGAGTGTCTTGGTGCTGTTTTGGTCGAAAACAGAGTTTCCGACGCTGTCCGTAAAAAGATTATCAAGACCGGTACTCTTGAAGACGATCCCGCCGTGCTTATGCTGGCCATGGCTACGGCTTTGGTTGGCTCTCCCATTTGGCTTTTAACTGCCACAGTCATTGGAATGCCTGTTTCCACCACCCACTCCATTATTGGTGCTGTGATTGGTGTTGATATTGTGTCCAAAGGTGCCGATTACGTGATTTGGGGCTGGGGTGGTTTCGCCCAGATTGCGGCCTCGTGGTTTATTGCGCCTGGTATCGCAGGAGGGTTTGCTTCGTTTCTTTTCTGCAAGTACTTCATCCTTGAGACACGCGAAAGGGGATCAAGAACGCTTTGGCTTTTAGGCCCGTTTTGGTCTTCGTAACATTTGCCGAGTTGACCATGTTGATTATTTGGAAGGGCTCGCCTAGATTGAACTTGGACGACTTGTCTACCGGTGCCACCGTGGGTTCCATTTTTGGTGTTGGAGCCGTGGCCCTGACTCCTCCGAGGGTAAACTAAAGGCTGGGTAATTTGTAGGCCCGTCGAGTCATTGTAGATTAACAACTTGAGCCGTAGTTACTTAAGTAAGTATAATGACAAGTGTATCTTCTTCATTTTTCCCGACCCCAAGCAAATTAGGTTAACATTTTTTCTTCAGTTTCCATTTATTGGTTGAAATGAACTGATACATGAATGACCAAACAAGCGCAAGGAATTGGAAGACTTCCAAAATCCCGCCAACAGATCCCGCCAACAAGATGTACGCCCCCATAAAAAACCAAAAAATGAGCTAGCCGCTTATAAAAGTATACACTATATTATGACAAGCAGTGAAACCAACAATACCATTGATCCCGCGCCATGTTCAGACCGGGGCCGCGTTAAGCCTAAAGGCGCGTTCAGACTGGAAGGGCACCGCTAGTGCCGCATATCCCACGAAATTAAAAAAAAAACAAACAAACATATAATCAAGCCTGCTTTTTCACGCAGGACCGGAAAGCCACGTCTGTTTCGACCCTTGGCCAATTGTCCCAGCCATGCCGTCCTATCAGCCCTGGCCGCTAGATAATCCATTAGAATTCGCACCCAAATTTTCTTGGTTCCGCGCACGACCCGCGCGGCATCCAAGGTATTCTATCTAATACCAGATGCCTCGTTAAGAAGTCTGCCTCGTGTATAAGAAGTCAGACACGCAACTTTCAAGTACCGGACACAAGCCCACAGACGAAAACATGGCGAAAGGTGCACTCAAAGATTACTTGAAAGGCTTGCCTGGGCACAAGATCTTGAGGCAGGTGGCGCGGTTGAACCTCGTGGCAGGCGACCAGAAGACGGCGTTCAAATTCCCTTCGGACGTCAAAAAAATCGAGATCATGATCATGTTAAAAATCGCTCAGCGGCGCTCGATCGGCTTGAACCATTTCTGGAAGTGGAACTTGCCCACGTTGAAATTCCACAACGAGAACATTGATTTCGTTGTCACTCGCATCCAGCCCGAGACCGACGAAGATTACCCCAAGATCCCGTCTGCGATTTTCGTCCACAAGGCCGGGGACAAGATGACCAGAGTCGAGTGCAACGGCAAGACCCACGAGTGGATCCTCAAGAACCTCGTGAGCGCGACCGGGGCCACGCGTGTGCCAGTAGAGGACATCCCCCACATCCCGCTCCCCAAGGTGAGGTTGCAATGAGTCTGGCGACCGCTTGTACATAGTCTTCTCGGGTGTCGCGGAGAGTTTTTATAGTCGTATAAAGAATGCATATGAGAGGCTGCGGCGGCCGCCGCGGCGTCTTGTTTGATCTATGATGCCAAGAATCGTAAGAGGGCGTCCCTGCCCTTTGCCTGTATGAGCGAGCGGAGCAGCTGGAGCTGGGCCGCATCCAGCATGCTGCCTGCGGAAGGCCCGAAGAGGGTGTCGGTGAGTTGGCGCACGTCGGCCGGCGCGGGCTCGAGTTTGGGCGTGGTGCCGAGGTTGGGCGCGGTGCCGAGTCCAGCCGTGATGTTGGGTCCAGCCGTGATGTTGGGTCCAGCCGTGGTGGCGAGTCCAGCCGTGGTATCGAGTCCGCCCGTGATATCGGCTCCAGCCGTGGTGTCGGCTCCAGCCGCGGTATCGAGTCCAACCGCAGACTTGGTTTTGGGCGCGCAGCCGTTCTGCTTGCGGTCCTTCCCCCCCAGGCCTCTGTCCCAGGCAGGCAGGCTCGCGCGAGTGTGGATCGCCAAGAGCGCCCGCACGGCGTCGCCGTCGCGGGCCTTGTCGGCGGCGATCCTGCTGTCGTAGTCCATGATGTCCTGGAGAATGGCGCTGCGCGAGCGGCGCGCCTTGTCCACGAAGTCGAGCACCACCTGGTGCTCCGGCACGCGGTACACGAACGGGTGGTGGCGCGGGTCGTCGGCGCTGGTCATGAGGAGCACCTTGGCCGGGCGCCCCGAGCTGCGGGCCACGACGCGCCCGGCGGCCGCGAAGTTCTGCAAGTGCTCCGGCACCTACGTCGTGCGCCGGGGCGGAGGCGGCGCCGGGGCCGGCGCCGGGCACGGGGCTGGCGCCAGCGGCCGCGCGCAACGCGTCCACGGCGGCGGTGTCGGGCGAGAGGAAGCTGCGGGCCTGGAACTCGCGGTAGTCGGCGAGCAGCGACGGCGCGGCCGGGTCGAGCGGCGGCTGGCCCGCGTGCCTGAAGAGCCCGTCGTTCGCGCGCACGAAGCGGAGGAAGTTGTGGTGGGCCGCGGCGTCGAGCACGCACGCGTCGCGGAAGCTGCGGCGCTCGGCCCAGAACAGCGGCACGGCGGCCTCCACGTGGTTCGGGCAGCGCCACTTCTGGCCGCGCGTCTTGGCCAGGCACGTCGGCACGGGCAAGCAGTCCAAGTGCCACAGGAGCGGGCAGTAGTCGCAGAACGCGAGCGTGCGCTGGCGGAGCCCCGAGAGCCCGCAGCGGTGGCAAAGGTGCGGCGTGCCGTCCGCGG